ACTGCTATCAGGAATTTTATATAAATACTTTTTTTTTTATTATCACTTGTAAATTGGATGGAAAAATCGATAAAGGTTTTCTTTTCTAATATCAAAAGAAAACCCGATAATGAGGCCAACCGAAGAGGTCATTCGATTTATAGTGTTAAGAACAAACAAAGTAAATTTTATGTTTTTGTGCTCGACCAGAAATTACTATTTAGTATTGTATTTACTTTATTCTTGGAAAACTTCTGAAACATTTTGCACTATAGACTAATGCGTCCACATTACATATTTTGTAGAGTATTATTTAGTATTTACATACCACAATAGTATAATATAAATATACATATATTACAATAGGTAGAAATAAAATATTTATTTTTAATTAGAAATACATTTTATATTCTGATAGCTAAGCGTTGAATTTAAGTATTGAGGGATATAAAATAAGTCTTGATAAATGTCTTGAATAAAAATGCTTCAATATGTTTCTGATAGGAAAGTGAATCTAGTTTAATATACTTTGTACTTTGGGGGTTAAAAGTACAAAAACTGTCGGCACTTTTCTTAATAATCGGAAAACCACAAAAAATTTAAAAACTGGAGTTAAACGGATTGATTTACTTATTTCCTTGTAAACACTTTTTTTTGAAATTTTTATGTTAGCATTTATTATTTTATACCTACATGGTACTTTCTATGCTCTATATATATGTAGGATATTCAAGCTTAAAATAACGTATTTTAAATGTAACTCAAAGAGTCTTGATGGAACTTGAAACTTCCGATTTTTACTTAATTTATTATTTTCCAATTTTCCATACTCAATAAAAGTTTCGAAATGTTTAGACGAATTTTAAACAATTTTATATTTATACCGTATTATTAATAGTAAGATGAACTACTATAATATAGCTGTGATATATCATCAAAAAAAAATACACTTAATAATATAACGTCTTCTTAGCTCTTATAACTGATTTTGTAAATAATGAATGATCGTTGATTACAAATTTAACATACTATGGGCCAGTAAGTTGTACCGTCTACGGTTACACTTCGATTACGCTTAATCAGCTGATAACAGATTTTACAACCGGGCAAATTCGGCCGATTAAACTTCGGTTGACTTTAATCCGAGCTTTAATCGGAGATGGTACAACTGGCCCTATATATTACAGCAGTGACTTACTCAATATCAGCAGAGCGGTTACCAATACTTGACCACTTTTACCCCTAAATATTTCGTTTAATGTATATTACATTTACAATATAGGTAGTGGTGTTTGAACTTTGGTTCATAATGTAATATTTGTCTGAGTTATTTCTGCTTATATATTAACATTATATACATTCCATCATAAGCTTTTGCGCAGTAAACTAATTCGATGTACTAACGGTCTGACAACCCATTTGAAGTATTACGTATCTACTGTATTTTTATCTTTTAAAATACAAAACGTGTAAATACGTCATCCTAGTAAATCCGAATCGGCTTAGAGTTAGGTAGCTTTAAGTCACTTTTCTGGTTAAAATCATTTGATAATATATATATAAACATCACGGAGTAACTTGATAATAAATCGTTTTTCGCACGTTATACAAGGATAAGGTTTCTTTAAACGTGCTTGCTATTAATAGCATTTACCTGTTTGGTTGTATTTGTGCAATTTTAAATGCTATTCAATTTTAAACTGTTCCTCGTACGATTATTGGTTTTATTCGTTAGACCGTAAAAGTCGGAACAACTTGAAATTGAAAACTGTCATTGTATAGTTTATATTTTTTAAATTAGGTATATTAAAATTACATTATGTTCTGTAGCCTATGTAGTATTATAGTTATATAATAATAATAAATTATATATAATTAAACAAATTAAATTTGAATATCTTTTTCAATAATGTGTGATGCAATTTTTTTTTAAAATAAGAACCATCTTTCCCGTTCTGATGACAATAATTAGTCGAGGGTTGCTCTCAAATCGGAAAAACAAATAATATAGATGACCTTCGTCGTCCTGCGTTCCTCCCTCCAATTCCAGAAATGACTTATCACGTCCAGAGGGTGCGGGTCGGAGGGGTTTTGTGTCCGTATAGGTGTTGTAGCCATTTGGCGGACGTTTATTAATTGTTTACGGTTCGCGACGCGCAGTTCGGATCGCGTTAATATAGATAAATGGAAGCTGCAAGCGTGTTTTCGACTTAATTGACGGAATACATTTTCGGATTCAATAATACGATTTTTAACCGTTTCATTATTTACCACCGTCCCGCTGCCCCCGACTCGTCCTGCACATCCTTCGACCGTGTCGTTTGTCGGCAATCAGTAGTGTAAACCTCTGTTAGGAATCCCTTCCCTCTCGCCGTGCCACTCTTCCTCTTTTTCTGCTGCAAACGTACGTGGTACGTCGGAACGTATATATAATATAATACAGTAGTGTCATAATTAGCGATGTCCGTCGTGTTTCGTCGTTCAGCCAGAACGTTTGTTTACATTTTTGTTTTTGTACCTATTGTTTTTTTTTGTTTTCACCTTTTCGTTTATTATTTGTTTTACTGTTCGCCGAGTGACATCGTTTTCCGTTTCGCACACTTCCGCAAGTAGCGAGCTCTGCTCTCTTACGTCTGTATTATTATTTCACGTGTTGTTTATATTTGTGCATAGATTCGTTGATCTCATATATGGAGCCTAACACGGACGAGTGTTTATTTTTATGTACACAGACCAGTGATTTTTAGAACACGACAAAGGGTTTATTTTCTCGTAACTCAATACGAGATGATGGATATTTTTAAAATTGTGAACGGTGTTTACATTTTTTTAACCTATTACGAAACCGTTTTTTTTTTTTTTTAACTACCCTTTCTCCGAGTATTTCGATAATACCATGACAAGCTTCAGGTCATTCTCCGCTGTGTACACACAGTTTCGTCCTATAGTGTCTGACCCACGCGATTGTTAATTATATTTTAGAAATTGTAAATTTTTTAGTGAGATTTTCCTGATAAATGTTACCGTTTTTTACATTTGTTTCTTTTAACTTGTATCCAGTATTAATAAAGATAATACCGTATTCTGACTGTTCATTATTATTCCCGATTATAAGTTTGAAATTGTATAAGTTATTATTATATATTATGTTTGCCAATTAAAATCGTCGTTATATATGGATGTCATTAGTTTGAGGTTTTTTGGTAAAGTTCTAAAATCCCTTTCCAAACAAATTGTTGGCAGTGTATATATTTCGTTGTCGCGTCGTTAGTTTTGTTTCCTTCGCCCAAAATTGCAGTTACAGGAAGTCCGAAATGATATCGATGTATTTATTCATATAACTTTTGTCTGAAAACCGTTGACCGAAACGGTAACAACTCGACCCGGAGAAAGAAGGATATAACATTTTTATTTTTTTAAATGATATAAATAATATTACATATCATTATATGTTTATATTATATGTGCATGTCGTCCAACCAGATTTTTCGTCTTCAATACATAAAATGTATATATGATGTGTTATATGTTGCATATTATGCGGTGTGGTATTAATGGTTATCATCCTGGTCATTATGTCATTTAATAAATTCAACATTTAAAGCGAAAGTAGTCTTCAGCTTTCACACAGTGACAGTTATATTTTGTTAATTGTATGCACTTCCTTCGGACAACTAGTTATATCATTTTATTACCCCAAAATCGAGTGCGAAAATTATCGAAGACAAAATCGCCTCCTTCTTATTAAATCTAGTTGTAAAATTACGTGTAGTTTTTATTGAAACCTTCTATCATAACGTTTGTAATTTATGTATTCTTATAAATAGAAATGTTTGTAATTATTTCTTGTTTTTCTTATATACAATAAACATATTATAATAAATTACTGAGAAAAAACATAACAATTATTAGGTATCTCCTATGCAATTTTGTCTCAAAAAAAAAAAAATCAATTTTAAAATTACGAAACTAAAATCGTTTAATTTACCTGCAAGTGGTAATTATATTTAAATTTGTAAACGGCATTTTTTTTTTTTTTTTTTATAATTGCTAATTTGTTTGTTATTATTACATCATAGTTTTTAAATTAACTTTACATACAGAAATTCTAAATAAGTACATACAATCCGCGACAATTAAAGAAATAGACAAATTGATTGTAAAACTAAAAATGAAAACCTATTAATTTATAAATTATATTTAAAAACATAGAATAGGTATATGCGTTTAATCAATAATAATTTGAAAGTCTTAACATTCTTAACGTAGTGTCATTTTTATTCGAAGCACTTTTACCTGTGATAATAATTATAGTTTAAAATGCTGGTCACAATATAAGATGGGCGTTAATATAAATAAATTCTAACCTATTGCATCATATACATATTACTTATTTAGTTTAGTCTCAAACATTCGATTAAATATGTACGGGGGGTTTTTTTGTCTGTCTGGAAACAAAACAATTTTAAAAATAACATATTGGATTTGTCTATTAAAATTGTTAAAACAAATGTTCGTCAATGAAAGATTTTGTTTTTGCAATTTGGTACAGTGAATTCTCATGGAATTTCTGAAAATTGCTAGTCCTCAAAGCTATTGTTTTACTCAATTTAAAACAAAAATACCAAAACGAAATCCGCTTAAATATGGGGACTTAGGCACATTGTGGAATTTTGAATTGAAATTTACCAACGTTGAACGCATGAGTGAATGGTATGTGACACGCGGCGAACAGTCGCGAGTTGTGTTTTGGCCTGGGTAATAAATGTTGGTAGAATCACGCGAGTTGGGTAGACCGTTTTTATTATGTCAAACCACTGTATCATCATGACTGTAGTCGCTATGTCTGCTATAACGTCGTCGGAGAGAAGGATAAAAAAAAAAAAAACAAAAAAAACATTAGTTTCTCTCTATCATTTTTTGCTGTCACGTATCCGTTGGTCAATGTAAAGTATGCTAACCACGTCCAAGTAAAACTCTTCTTGCAACGTTAACACGTTTTCTCTATTTTATACGGGAAGATGAAAGGGACGAGGCTTAAAAACAGCTCTGTAAGATAAATTTGGTGGGGATTTTTATTTCATTTTAGTTTATATCTATATTATGTGTATCATCAGAAGACTAATCGCATTTGTATGCATTTTAAACGTCTCGATTTTGACTTCGGACAACACACTTTTTATCTTGAAATCAAGTTAATTAATTTTTATGCTATTACATTTCGATTAAAAGTGTTTATTTCTTAACTGACTTTATCGTATTTTAAAGTGCATGAATGAAATAACTAATTTTGGTGAACTGCGTGAACTATATTATTATGACGTATTAATATATTGTTTGCAGATGAAAATAAAAATAGTTAAATTAGGTACAAAGAAAATATAATATAATTTGGGCAAATGTATGGATGTTATTCATTATTGCGGTTTTTGTATAATATTATCAAGTTATCTTTTTAAATTTAAATTAGCTGATTATATTAAGAGGATGTCAGCTCAATATTTGTTTTCTCTCTCTGACCCACTCGCAACATAGACAAAACGCATTTACGCAGAATAATTTTTTCCATGTTTTTAAGTCATCTTAGAGTAAAATCACCCATTAGAAAAATGATAGAGAATAATATTTTTGAGGGAATGACTTATCGATTTGACTAAATATTGTCTCAAAACAATTTAAACATAATTTAAATTTACAAAATGTTTTTGTTTATTTTGAATGTCGAATACAAAGTCAAATAACAATACAACATAAAACCGATGTCATTCCCTCAAAAAAATTATTCTTAATCTTTTTTGTAATGGGTGATTTTACTCTAAGATTACTTAAAAACCAGAAAAAAATGATTCTGCATTAGTGCGTTTTGTCTATGTTGCGTGTGGGCCAAAGAGAGAGAAAACAAATAGTGCGCTGACATCCTCTTAATGGTTGATTAAATTGTTGTAATATGTTATATATATAGGTAATTATTAAAAAATAAAATTCGTTGTAGGAGCTGAGAGAAATATTATTTGTATTAATTTTCAAAAACTTCACATTTGTATGTCAAGCGTTTTCGTCTTTAAATAGCTTAAACCCATTTTATTATAGTATTTTACCGTAATTATATTATATCAAAAACAATTTTTCCTCTGGGTGCGATTTTGTTGTTTTTAGTCGTGGTATTTTGTACTTTGTCGTGCCATTCTATTTCAAATGCTTTTTTTTACTTAGACCTTCAATGGCTATGTAACGTTCAAAGAGACCGTTATAAGAGATTTCACGCTTCCCCCGTCTACTCTTGGATACCGAGGTTGAAAGCCAAAAAATTTAATTAAAAGGCTTTACGGGTTTACAAAGAGTTGCGTTTGAACACACATGCTCACACAGCCGTGTAGTGTGTATTCATTTCGTATATTTTGAATATTAATTCAATCGTTGTGTTTCCATTTTACCCACTCAATAACGCACGTAACCCGACTTTTAGGTTTATTCCGGCAGTGTGATGTGTGTGTCACATATTTGTAATTCGTTGTGCAATCAAATTATTAAATAGGCAAGATTTTTTACGAACCATTTTTGTTTTATAGATCGGCAGTCTGGAGGGTTTTTACCTCTTCGAACACAAACACGTGCACAAGCGGTCAATGGACACCAGCGATGTACATCATAAGAAACTCACAGACGAACCCGACGTAAGTGCCATCATAATAATAATACAAGTATAATACTGCAATTACGATCACCGGATTAAAACACATGGCAATGACGTGTGTCCATATAGATGTGGGTTACGGCTGTAACCCTCGGTCATAGGCTGAAATTTGGTGAAATTACTGGGGGGAGGGGGGGCTGAGCATTATATTTCTCATTGTACCTATATAGGCACTATTGTACTAGAGTCGCTCGCAATTATTATTATTTCAACAAGACAATTTACAAAGTTTGACATACTAAACAATTTAACCTTAATAAAGTACAAAAACAATAATGTGCCATAGCCCATAGGTACCTTGAACATTTTATTCTAAACAAAAATAGCATTAAATTTATTGTATTATTAAGTTATTAAATTTATTGAATTATAACCAATTCAATATAAGATGTTAAAACAAAGAAGCCAAGTATATAACATAATAAGTGTACTTATATATTTATTTTAGCACAATATATCGGTTTTTATTAGAAAAAGCATTAACTATATCAGTATTATTGATTTTAATATTACATTAATTACGATGGTTCCAAGTTATGACAATAAGTTCGTAAAATTGTACGAATTAAATTTAATCATTATCATAGAATATTTTTTTATAATTTATTTTGTAATTCAGATATTAAAAATGCATTTTTTAATCATACTAATTATTATATATTTTTATATATTTAGTCACATTACAATTGTGAGGGCCAGGGGGGCTAAGACCTGTACTTTAAAATTCTGAGGGGGCTTAGTCCCCTCTAGCCCCCCGATTCCGCCTATGTCCGCGGTTACCAATAATCCGACTTCACTGCAGTGTGTTCTTATTTTTATTCAATTTTTTTTTATCGCGATTCACCTCGTTTTGTCGAAACCGTATTCGATAACATATATTATTATTATGCGTGTGAATCGCGCCGTCGGCGTAGACACTCATTAGGGAATAAGTTATATTATTATTATATAATATTTTAAGACCTAACGCTCACCGTATAAGCGTCGGTTCAGTTTTCCCCATTCATTACCGTCGCCGATTATACACGCAACCATTCACTCGACGCCTCGTTTAATGCGATACGGCGTAGGCGAGTCTTAGCGCCGTTATCACAGACACTCGGCAAAACATTCTATAAGTGGTGTTTTCTGGATGAGCGAACAATTCACGAGTCGTAAGAAATACACTCGACGACGCGTGTTCCATCGACGGAATGAAAGTTTTCGAACATTTTTTTTTTTTTTTCGTTTTGGAAAAAATCAATTATTTTAATTTGGGGCTTCTGCAGAACACGTCTTCTGCTCTACGATTTCGTTGAACCAATATACTTTGGCTGTGACTATCCGTTGATCATTGTAAATTAAATGTATAATTGCGAATAAGGTTGCTTATATTTATTATTTTTGTCCCGTAAATCAGTGTTCTCGTTTTGATTTATCGGTTTTTAATAACACATGCACACTAGAAAATATTGCGAATTAACTATATTGCATCTTTTGTTCGTTGAAATTTGCAAAACATATTAATATATGTCCAATCGATCACGTTTAGCATTTTTAGAAGATTTTCATTGGTTATTTAGGAACTATTTATGCGTTTCGTCGTTATCTTTTTATTCATTAATAAAAATGAGTTTTTAATTATTTTATTTTGTTTCGGTAAACTATCCTTAAGTGGTATATTATTACGCTTGAATATTTTTAATTTATATGAAACAATGATAATATTTAACTAAAAACTGTCCATTAACTTCAAAGTTCAACAATGATTGAGTTACACACTTCCATTTAAAACAAAATAAATAATTTATGGGTCTTTAATTTTATATATTTTTGTTAGTTGTATTTGTTGAATATTAGTATACATAAACTATAATTTAATAACTATATATTTACTTTTATTATATTATTAAATTAAAGAATATCCATTGATATTTTATGATCAAATACCTATAATATTATATCAGTATTTGAATAAATCCAAAACATAATATGTTTAATATTATAAACATTAATTAAAATTTATATTTTATATCATAATGTTTCTATAAACAAATTGACCACATATTTTTATGAATTGTGTAATATTTTATAAGGAATCCATTATATCGTTGCATTTCTACAATTAAATCATAATTTTTTTTAAACCAGAATTTTTTTCAATTTATTAGCTTAAACAACTATTGTATACGCAATTCATCATTTGACATTTTAAACTTTTGTGGTCTTATTGATTAAAAATAAAAATAAAAATGTTTACACTCATAACTTATTAATATTTTAATTTAAGACACGTATGACGCATTTTAGAGATTATATTCAATTTGCTATCCTGAAGAAGCGACATCGTTGTATCAATATACCTACATAATGAAAAAAAATGTATTATGTTAATTTAGTGTATATGCGTTTTTAAGTGGTTGCCGTTTAGACCTTTATAGTTCGGTTCACGTCTCATGACAACTTTTTTTATTATATTATCTTACTCATGTTATTCTGCGACGTGTATTGAAAAGTTGTAAAGATGTTTTATTTCTTAACGTTTTCGCTTTGTTTGTACAGTACAATCACAATAATATTGATGTTTTATTTACCATCAAAGTGTTATCAGTAAAAACTTATTTCCTTTTATTAAAGAAAATTGCCATTTTTTTTTTTAGTATAACGGATATTGAAGAGGGTGAAGTTTGAAATAGAATGAGACGGAATATTTTTCTAATTTAAATAGCAGTTATGAATGTTCGATAAAACGTTTTTCTGTTTTAAAATGGGAATCAGTTTTAAAAATGTTTGATTTCTTTTTGTAAATACATTTTAGAGTCTGGGAATTGTTCTTTCGTAGAAGATAAACGTAATTATTGTAAACGCTTTATAGATATTGAATGATATTCATCATCATAAACATAATAAATAAAATAAATCGTGTTATTATAAACCATTATTATATTGTACTAACAACAATTATTATTCCCTTTGAAATGTTGCTTGTTATTCATACTTTATTCGCATTTCGTTTGAAACGTATTGATTTATGAACAACTTACGAGTTATTGTTATAGCTTATGTTATCTTCTTAGTTATTTAATTGTTAGTGAAATAAATGTATTTTTTAGAATTATTTCTTTTGTTTTAAATAACTTTCGTACTTTTCGACTACTATTCGTCGTATATCTATACAATCCACAGGATGGATCAAAAGTTCAGCAGCTATAGTACGCACACAACAATAAAAAAACGTAAATCGTAAAGATAATAACATTGTTTTAAATTTTGTAAAATAGTACCACTTAAAATATTCCTGTCAACTATCGTAAAAACAACTTTATTGAACAAGTTTAACGTTATACTGAAAAATAAATCATGTAGTTGTTTCACTCACAGTTTATATTATAATAAGTTTAAAACTAATGTGACGGTTTGTTTAAAATATTATTAGCGGTTCAAAAATAATAAATCATCAGGCATAAGAGTTTTCTACCTATTCATTAGGTACACACATAATTCTATATGAGACTAAAATAATATAAAATGCAAGTTATTACTTATCTAGCTATTTTGAAAATGCTATCATAAATTGTGTTAGCAAAGTGTTATACCTAGTGTTAACTTTCAAAAATAGAATTAACTAGTTTAGTAATGTTTCCTATACAATTTTAATCTAATATTGATTATTATTTCTTAATTAAATTATTTTAAAGTTTTTATTATAGAAATATATCGTATCTTTATTTTGGAAAGTTACAATCTATACCTTTGGTACAATAAGTAATTAAAATAATAAATGAACAAGATGATATCATGAAAGGAACACCTTAATTGTATTTATTTAGACAAAAATACTTAATCCTTTATAGAAAATGTAAATGTAAACAATAAAAATAAAGTTAACTTTTTTAAGTTTATGTAATAAAACAAATTAAATATAATATGTATCATTGATGTTGATTAATGTGCTTACAAATTGTTGTTGAACGTCAAAGTTAATTGCAGATACAAGTAAATCAACTACAAATTCACTACGATTTCTCATTTTATGTACATCAAAGTACCTATTAGAGCACATCATTTTTTATCTGATACATTTTATTTACCGAGAAACCGGTCACCACTAACAGAATAAATTAACTTTATAATCCATTGAAGTTATATTTTTAAATTTTGAATTGATAATATATTACAATGAATTAAAAGAAATGAAAAATTTAATTGGTAGGTATACTAAATCAAATAAAAATGTGTAAACATTAAAACCATTGAAAAACTAATAATTGAAATAATGTTGATTTCACCATATTTTCTCTTTAAATTGAATAATGGTTAGTATAATGTTTAAGTTATCTGGTATTATAGGTAGGTACATTATAATTGTATTATAAGGTGTATTAACTTAAACTTTAAAAATTAACGAATATGAATTATTCTTTAATACATCAGATACTTTGATTCATAAATAGTTTTTATGTTTTTAATAATAGATTGTTGATTTCTTCTAAAATGCAGTACCTAGGGTCCGCGTCAAACGTTCTGGCAGTAAGAGTAAATACCGTCTACCAGTAAATTAAAAGTTTATCATACATTTTATACTATTTAAATGTTTTTTTTTCCACGGTACCTAGGTACAGTGTTTATTTTGAAAATATAAATTTTGTATATCGAGTCAAAATAAGCATTTATGATAACTGAGAAAAACGAACCATGAACAATTTTGAAAAAGAACTCATATTATAATACACTGATGACACGTTTAACTATAGAATAATTTATTTCACTTAAAATACACCAAACAACCGGTTGAACGAATATTTACACTCTTGATTTAATCCGATTTTAATATTCCAGAAAAGTATTTCATAACTCAATAGACTTCTACATACATTGTATCCGTCCGAACCCATAATTTAACGAATACACGGTTTGCAGAGATAAACAGAAATTAAAAAAAAAAACCAACAAGAACACGGTTGAGGTCCCTACCTACCTAGGCTATACCTAAGTGATTAT